TGTTTCCCATACAGCAAAACAAAACAATAAAGCAAAACAGTAGTGGTCCCAATACAGACCACAGGCGACCACCACTGCATACTGAAAGTGCAACCTCGTATATCCTTTCCATCAATGGGTGTCGAAATGTCTATGTAAAAGCTGCCAGTGTACTGGGTTTTATAGGTTGAACCAGTGTACAAAAGTCAACTGGCAATGGCACATGTGTGCATATCACTCGATAGATTGCACCTGCAGCATGGTTTGCATATCTGCAAGTCCTCATGTTAGGAACGATAATAGCCGTTCACCTCGACACTCTGCTTTCAGTATCCGAGACAACTCTGTTTCCAAGCTGCCACTGTCCCTTTAAAATCGTGGGCTTCTATTTTGGTTACAAGTGTCATATATGATACTATCTGATACGCCTTTTGAAAATGCGTAGCAACACAAACTGTGGAACCTTACTGCACCCTATTCGTTACTTCATAAAACAACTTTATCCGGTTTGTTAGTCCGTATTGGCTCTTCTATATTAAACCATAATTTCCTTTGTGGGAATGTATTATTTCCCAGATTGCAGTCTGCAGAGGTTTCCCCACGACTGAAGTGAGACTGACTGGCCTACAGTTCCGGGTTTAACCTGCGACTTTTTGTACAGGAGACTAACACTTGAATGACTTCCGACTTCTGGCAGCACACTGGTGTCCAAAGAGAATTGAGAGATTTTTCCCGGAGCCTCCGATGTTTGCCCAGTTATTTTCTTCGGTAAACTAGGATTCATCCCGTCCGGTCTGGGTATATTATCTACCCTGTGCGCCGATTGATTTGTAGTAATTCCTCTCGCTTTATTCTTGACATAGATAATTTCTTTGCCCTCTTATCCGATACTGTAGCATTGGCTGCATCCTCATCTTCTGTGACCACGAGAGAAACATCTGTCTATTCCTTTGAAGATTTGTCCCCAATGACAGTTTCATTGAAACTCTTCTCGGTGTCCCACTGAGCATCCGTTTGCCATTGGCTCCTCTCCACAGACTTGTCCTCTCCCTGACCGGACATGTGTGATAATGCCACACATTCATGTGAATTCTGCACTGCCCGTCCCCTCTTCCTACCACATGTACAGATACTCTCTCTGAGCGCTCTGTGGCTGTGGGATGACAACCTCCTGAAACGTGAGGTCCATGAACACACAGAGTCACTCATTCCTTTACTGTCTCTCACCCACATTCACTCTGCCTCTCTACAATGGAGAGAGTGAGAGAGAGAGAAAGAGAGAGTATGAGAGACACACAGAGAGAGTTAGATAATGAATGTGAGAGGCAGAGAGAGAGTGTAAAATTCTGAGAGAAAGTGTTAGAGAGAGAGAGAGAGAGAAACAACAAGACGTGGTGTAAAAGTCTTTCATGTCGGCTGGACGTCCAAGGCCGCAAAACAGACAGAGATCCCGAGTTAGTTCGCAGTTTCTCATCATCAAACAAACAAACAAACTGCGTTTATTTCTCCTCCTTCACGGAGGGTTGGGGTTCGGAGCTTCTCCTCAGTGTTGGCTTATAATTGACGAATCCATTTTCAATCATTTTCGTGTGCTTATGTCAATAAACAGTTTCGCACTGAATCCCATGACATTAATTGTGTTGCTCAGTCCCTGGGTCTGGTTATCACCATCTAACGCCAGAGAGCGGTCAGACACAGACAGCAATTCATTGCTTCTGCATCTCTCCTGGTGGCTGTTGTGGATTTGAGGGAAATAATCATTTGCTGTGATTTAGTCTGGGTTCAAATTACAAATAAAGAGGGTGGTGTTGTACTGTGTAACTGCTCACAATGTTCTGAGTAATTATACTATTTATAATAATTCGGCATTTGACATTGCGCTGTTCACGTCTTGCAGACGCCTCAAAGCGCTTGTTTAGTCATCTCCCTTCTCCTCCTTGAGGGGAGGTGACCAGTGTCTTCCTGGAGCTGATCTGGAGCTCGGCAACAAATGTGGAATGGAACCATTCCTGAGTGATAGTCACTCGGGTGGACACTGTGATCTCTGCCTGTCCCGGGCTGTGTGTGTGCGTGTGTGTGTGTGTGTGTGTGTGTGTGTGTGTGTGTGTGCGTGTGCCTGTCTGTGTGTGTCTTTCTGTGCCTGTGTGTGTGTGTGTGTCAGTGTGTGTATTACTGTGCCTGTGTTGTGCGTGTGTCCTGTGTGTCTGTGTGTGTCTGTTTGTTTCTGTGTGTGTTTGTGTCTGCGTTTCTGTGTCTGTGTGCCTGTGCCTGTCTCTGTGTCTGTCATCTGTCTGTCTCTGTATCTGTCTGCGTTGATGCTCGTGTGTATCGCTGTCTGTGTGTGTATCTTTGTGCCTTTGTGTGTGTGTGTGTCTCTCTCTCTGTGTGTATATGTGTGTGACTGTGAGTGGTTGTGTGTCTAACCCCCTGAGCTACAGGACACTTTACAAAGACAACTTTGCATTGAATCCTGCAAAAACTCAGTCACTACACTGTCCTGTGAAGCGCATTGAGAAGTCTCAAAGTCGTGATAAGGCGCAGGGATACAGACAATTATTATTATTATTGTTGTTACAAAAAGACTTTTTAATAGCCCAAAAAACAACGTCTCCCCTTTAAGAAGAGGACGGACTCGCTTTAAATCCAAAATACTGTCTGCAGTTTTATATATATTTTTTTGATGCTGTTTTTTGAGAGTGATTCATTTTCCAATTACGAATATTTTTATTCTGCAAATAGAAATAAAATTATTGGCAAAATAAGTTTGTTTGATTCCAAATCCGTCAGTTCTTCCCTTGGAAATAAGAGATTTTCTCCAACACTTGTGATAGATATCAGGTAATACCTGTCTTATGCTGATTCAATTTGTTAATCACAACTTTCGGCTGATTAAGTTTGCAAAAGACTTTGCTGAATTATTTTACTTTCCTTCAAGCGTGTGAGTCTGTCAGACGAATAACACTGTTTTGATATACTGAATTTATATTCTTATATTTATACAACATATAATATTAAAGTTATTTATATTTTTATACTGTGTGTGTACAGGAGAGACACCGGGAGAGGCTGTGTGTGTGTGGGAGATATTGGAAGAGGCTGTTTGTACAGGAGAAAGATTGGGAGAGCTGTGTGTATACAGGCAGGACACTGGCAGTGGCTGTGTATATACAGGGGAGTCAGTGGAAGAGGTTGGTTTATACAGTGGAAGACACGGGAAGAGGCTACGTGTACAGGAGAAACACTGGGAGAGGCTGTGTGTATACAAGAGAGACAGCGGGAGAGGTAGGTGTGAAGGTGTGTAGTTTCTCCATTACATTGTGTGTAAAAGAGAAACGCTGGAAGAGGCGGTGAATGATGGAGAAACACTGGCAGAGGTCGGGTGTCCACAGGAATGACCCTGGGAGAGGTTGTGTGTATACAACCGGAGGCACTGGAAATGGCTGTTTATACAGAAGAGACCCACAGAGAGTATTTGTGTACACAGGAGAAACACTGGGAGTGGTTGGGTGTATCAATGCCAAATAATGATCCATCAAGAAAAAAAAATGGTAATTTGATCACTCAATCCATGACTGTTTGTGGGTCGCTGCTGTGCGAAATTGACTGCCGCATTTCATCCACGTATATACAGTCAAATCACTTGACAGCATATTCTGTAAAGCGCGTTGAGACGTCTAGAAGATGTGATCAGGCACTGGATCAAATGCAAGCATTAATATTATTTTTATTATTATTATTGTTACAGAGTGAAATCCATTTCTAGCCCCGCCTAAAACCCTGCAGCACCACTTTACTGCCACCAGATGGCGAGGCTGCACAGTGTAACTTCCAAAAGTATTCTCAGAACACCTAATAATAATAGTAATAATCTTGACATTCGATATTGCGCAGTTCACGTCTTACAGACGCCTCAAAGCGCGCGTTTAGTAAAAAACATTCCTTCTACTCCTTGAGGGGAGGTGAACAGGGTATCCCTCGAGTTGATCTGGAGGTTGGCAACCAATGTGGGAATCAAGCCAGTCTTGTGTGATGGACACTTGGGTGGACACTGCGATTTCTGCCTGTCCCGGGCTGTGTGTTTGTGTTTCTGTGTGTGTGTCTATGTGTATATATGTGTCTGTGTTGTCTCTCTGTTTCTGTTTATCAGTGTGTCTGTGTGTTTGTGTGTCTGTGTATGAGTGTCTCTGACGATATGTGTATCGGGGTGTGTCTTTGTGTGTGCCTGTGTGCGCGTGTCTCAATCTGTGTGTGTGTCTTGGTGTGTCTGTGCATAGAGAGGAAACTTGCACAAGGTTTCGCCCCCTATTGTGGATTGACCCCCTGTCTCTGGCTTGCGAGGCGAGGGCTCTAACCACTGAGCTACAGGACATGTTACAGAGACAGTTTACGGTATATACTGTGAAGCGCTTCGAGACGTTCCGAAGACGTGATAACACACTGGATCAAACACAAGGATTACTATTATTATTATAAAAAGGGCTTTAACCCCAAAAAACCTCCTCTCCCTTTCAAGGCAGTGACGGCCTCGCTTTAAATCTCAAATATGGTCAACAGATCAAAATCCTGCACTGGCCCCGTGAACGAACCCAGCCCCGCCCCCGCCCCCGAACTCAGCCCCGCCCCCAAACCCAGACACGCCCCCAGCTCCGGACCCGCCCCCAAACCCAGCCCCGCCCCTATTTGTCTCCTGTTTGTAGGAAAGCCTCCAGCGGCTGATTGATAGAGAGAGAGTGAGTGAGAGAGACAGAAAGTGAGAGTGAGTGTGAGAGAGAGGGAGACAGTTAATGCAAAAAGCGATTTATATACTTGGGATTAGTGCAGAATTGGGAATATTTTGCACTGATGCACTTTAAACCCCGAGGATCTGGGGGAATTTACACCCGTTTCCCGTGTTAATCCCCGGCTGTGGGATTAAAATCAAAACCCAAAGTTAATGCAAAACCGTATTTATATCGTTGTGATTAACGCAAACATTGGGGTTTGTTAAACTATTGCACTTGGAACACCACGTATATGGGGGCTTTAAAAACGTTTCCAGTGTTGCACACAGAGAGCGCTTTATTATTTAAACAGAAAGTCAATGATAAATCCCATGGGTATCATTGGGATTAATGCAGATTTAGAAAGCCTGGGATAGGCTTTGAGACATCTGGCAGAATTGATGAGGAGCTGTGTGCAATATGGGGATTATTATTGTCGAGATCAGGAGCTGAAAACTCCAGCCTGATGGTCGTTGTGTCACAGATGATTTACTTTAGACTTTTCTCTGTGCAAATTAGCTCTATATTCGCTCACAAACACAACCGTCGCTTCACAGCCGATTCCGAGAAAGGATTGAGCCGCGGTCCCAGTGTGAAAGGTGTCATATAAACCACAAGCTTTATTGTATAAGGACACAGATTATAAAAGGTTCAGCCTCGTGGCCATCACAGCCAAACACAGCTCGTGGCTGAGGATTTCCGCCTCATTAATCGGTCACCCGACAGATACTCAGAGGCTCAGAGGTTTTGCCGCTGTCGCTATTACAGGGACTGAAGTACGGATAAAGTTTCTCAGTGAAAGTCTGGGTGAAAGTGTGGAGATGCGACATGTTATCAGCGTTGTAAAATGTCACCTCTCCCCCCTCATAGTCCAGGAACACTCCCAGCTTCCCGGGTCTCTCTCTCAGGGACAGGCGGAGAGCTGATGTACCAGCTTTATATACATCCCCGTTTCTCAGTGTCACAGCCCAGAATCCATTCTCTGGTGACACTGTGATCTTTCCTTTCCTGTTGACAGACTCTCGGGCCAATCCCACTGCCCACTGTGTCTTGTTGGCCACCTGCACCTCCCAGTAATGTCTCCCTGATGTGAAGCCCTCAGACCCCAGGACTATGAGATATTTACTAAACCTCTTCGGGGAGTCAGGGAGCTGCCGCCGTGTGTCTCCGAGTCTCACGCTGGTCAGGTCCTCAGACAGGATGAGTCGGCGATGAGCTGTGTCAGGATCCAGAGTCAGAGCGGCCGGAGCTGAGAGAGAGGAACAGCACAAAGTGGAGTGAGGGGACGTCTGAGCGCTCAGACTGTGCGTGAACACTTCTGAAGCTGGGGACACCATCCAGCTCAGAGGGTCACAGTCGGTGTGACGGTATGTGTGAGTGTGCGTGTGAGGGTTTGTGTGAGGGTGTGTGTTGGGGATGGTGTGTGAGCGGTTTTATGAAGGTGTGTGTGAGAGGCTGTGTGAGGGAATGTGTGAGTTTCTGCGTGAGGGTGTGCGTGAGTGGATGTGTGTGCGAATAATTGTGAGGGTGTGTGTGGGTGGATGTGTAAGGGTGTGCCTGTCAGCAGGGTGTTTGAGGGGTGTTTGTGAGGGTGTGTGCTTGAGGTTGTGAGTGTGTGCGACGGTGTGTGTGAGGATGTGTGAGGTTGTTTGTGAGGCTATGTGTGATCGGTTAGTGTGTGTGAATGTGTGTGTGAGAATTGTGTGTGTGGGAGTGTGTGAGTGTATGTGTGAGAGAATGTGTGATGCTCTGTGTGAAGGGGTGTGTGAAGGATATGTGAGGATGTATGTGAGTGTTTGTGTGTGGATGTGTGAGGGGTGTGTGTGTGAGAGTGTATGTGATTGTATTTGAATGTGTGCGCGAAGGGGGGGTTTTGGGGGTCTGTGAGGGGTGGGTGTGAGGGGTTTGTGTGAGGGTCTGTTTGAGGGTTTGTGAGGTTGTGTGTGGGGGCGTGTGAGAGTGGTTTGTAAGGGTCTGTGTGGGGATGTTTGTGAGGGGGTGTGTGTGAATGGTTATGTGAAGGCGTGTTGGAGGGTTTTTGTAATGGTGTGTGTGAGGAGGTTCCTCAGGTGGTATGTGCGCGTGAGTGTTTGAGGTGGTGTGAGAGGAATTGTATGAGGGTGTGTGTCAAGCTGTGTGTGAGGATGCTTGTGAGATGTGTCAGTGAGTGTGTGTTTGAGGCGTGCGTGTGAGGGTGTGTGTGGGTATGTGTGTCAGGATGTATGTGACACGTTTGTGTGAGAGCTGCCTGTGAGTGTGCGAGAGGGTGTGTGTGAGGGTGCGTGTGAGGGGTACTCACCTCTGAGGGTGTGTGAGAGTGAATGTATGTGTCAAGTTGTGTGTGAGGGGCTGTGATAGTGGATGTGTGAAGGTTTGTGTGAGGGTGTGTGTGAGTGTGTGTGTGGGGTGTGTTTGAGAGGATTGTGTATGTGTTTGAGGGAATGAGAGAGGGGTTATGTGAGAATGTGTGATGGTACGTTTGAGGATGCGTGTGAGGGGTGCGTGTATGGGTATGTTTGAGTGGTGTGCGTGAGGGTGTGTGTGAGGATGTGTGTGATGGAGTATGTGACGTTTGTGTGTGATGGGTGTGTGTGAGGGGTGTGTGTGAGGATTGTGAGGGTGCATGTGAGTGGTGTGTGTAAGGGTTTGTGTGAGTGGTTGTGAGAGGTGTAGTGTGCTGATGTGTGTGAGGGTGTGTTTGACGATGCGTGTGAGTTGTTGGGTGTGAGGGTGTGTGTGAGTGTTGGTGGGTGAGCGGGAGTGCCTGTGTGTGAGCGTTTTGTAAGGGTTTTTGTGTGAGGGGATAGGTGAGTGTTTGTGTGAGCGTGCATTTGAGGGTCTGTACGAGTGTCTGTGTGAGGGGGGAAGGTTTGTGAGAGGTGTGAGTGTGTGTGTGGGGGTGTGTGTGTATGACAGGGTAATAATATTGATAATAATAATAATAATCCTTGCATTTCATATGGTGCTTTTCAGTGTTTTTCGACGTCTCTAAGCGCTTCACAGAATATAATGTGAAGTGAACTGACCGAACATTTGTGGGCGAAACGCGGCAGCGAATTGCGTACCGCAGCGTCCCCTCAAACAGCTGTGGATTTAAAATGACCGATTTAATATTGTTTTTTGTTTATTGGAGGGATCATTATCAGGCGTGTGGAGTAAGGAAACTTGCCCAAGGATTCACCCTGCCTGAGATTGAACCCATGTGTCTCGCTTGCAAGGCGAGTGCTCTAAACACTGACTTACAGGACTCCACATACATGGTATGTGAATGAGGGGGTGTGAGATGTTGTGTGTGAGGGGTTTGTTTGAGGAGTGTTGTGAGGGTTGTATGTTTCAGATGTGTGTGAGGTGTGAGAGAGAGTTGTGTGTGAGAGTTGTGTGTGTGTGTGATGTGTGTGTGCAAAGCGTATGTGTGTGTGAGGTGTGCAGGTGTCTGTGAGGGTGTTGCGATTATGTGCATATGTGAGCGAGGAGTCGGTATGTGTATGTGTGAGGGAGTGTGTGGAGGGTATGTGTTGGGAACCAGGTGAATACAAGTCTATTGACACGGATTCAGGGTGAGAATGGGAGACATGTACCTGGGCTGATGTTGTCTATAATCTGTCTCCATACTGTGTTTTGCAAAGGCCATTTGTACTTGGCCACAGGGAGCTCATCCTCACACACTGACAGATCAAATACCTCGTCACTGACCCTGAAATAAGACACGATCACAATATAATGTGAAACTGCACCTTCTGGTTGGTTTGTGGTTTCAATTCTGGAATGTTTGGTCAAGACCATTTCATACCTTCTGTTGCCAGCAGCTTCTTCCTAATGAAATCAAACACAGATAGATATCAGCTCACACTAAGTCACCACCGACAACAAAAAGTTGCATGTGGACTGCGTCTCTCAAGCCAAAATTCAATCTCTGATCTCTTTATCGATCACAATTAGATTGTTTGCTCCAGAATTTTGTGTAACTGTTACTGAGCGACATTATATTGTCATCTCTTTACCTGCAGGAAGGTGAGATCGTCTTTTCCCATCTGTGTCTCTAACTCGGAGAGTTGTTGTTCAACAGAATCTAATTTGCATTGAATCTCTCGCAGATTTGTCTCCATTCGCTTTAATATCTCATCCTCTCGTTGTCTGAGATCCCCCATCACTCGCTGCTCTCTGTCCGTCAGACTCTGGTGCATTTTAGCAAACTCACCCGTGACGTGGGTCTGCAGACTGTTCACCTGTTCCTGCAATGTCAGACATCCAAACATTACACACAGTAACCAGAGACACTGAGACATCACACCGTGTACACACATTGACCAGAGACACCGAGACATCACATGGGTACACACACAGTAACCAGAGACGCTGAGACATCACACCGTGTACACACAGTAATCAGAGACACTGCGACATCACACCGTGTACACACAGTAACCAGAGTCACTGAGACATTACATCGTGTACACACACTAACCAGAGACGCTGAGACGTTACACTGTGTACACACAGTAACTGGAGACACTGAGACATCACAACGTGTACACACAGTAATTTGAGGCACTGAGACATCTTTGTGAAATCTCACCTTCAGTTGTGAAATCTTTTCTTTCTGTTTGGCTTCGGCTTGTAAACCAGTTTCCTTCCTCTGTGTGAGAGAAGCTAAGGAGGATATCAGTTTATCCTGGAATAAAAACACAGAATTAACCTGCTTGAAGGGGAAAATATCAGGTGGATCAGATACAATCCTTCTTGAGGAGTATTCTTACCTTATAGGTTTCAACAGCTTCTTCAATGGGTAGGAAGCTGTGGCCTCTGTGTTCCTGCCCATGACTGCAAACTACACACAGCAATTTCTTGTCAGATTCACAGAACAGCTTCAGTTTCTCCCGGTGTTTCTCACAGTGAAGTTTTTTTCCGTCTGGGTCGGGTTCAGGCTCAATTTTCGTGCTTTCTCTGCTAGACTCGCCAAGGCCCAACTGGCTCTGAGGTTCTTTTCTGGAAATGTCTCCTGACAAACAGCACAGCAGTTGATCTCCTGCTTTTCACAGCTCCGGGTGACACAGGAGCGACAGAAGTTGTGGCCACAACCCAGGCTGACAGGGTCAGTGAAGAAATCCAGACAAACCGGGCAAATGATCTCCTCGGTCCAGATCTCAGCCGGGAGTCTAGAAGCCATTTTGATCCTCAGCACTTCCTGATTGAAACTGGTTTCGGTTTCGATGTAAGTTTGTAGGCGGATCCCAGTCACTGAGCTGCCAGACCCTCTCCTTTAGTCTCTTCTTGTGAAATCCGTTTATTGTGACTTTGATTCCAAGAGAAGATGAGAAAACGTTGTACAATGACAAGGACACCCGAGCAAGGAAGGCGTTGGAATATGTGGAGGGGTGGTGTGCATGTTGAGTGGGGCGGGGACGGGTGGGAGTATGACAAAAAGCGCCATCAAATGGGTTAATTTGAGGTTGTTTGAAAGATCTCTTGTCTGTGAGATGGTTTTCTGGTGCACGACATGTACAATGGTGGAAATCTCGCACGGTGAGGCGGATATTGGGTTGGGTGGGGGTGATATCAAGCGACCTGCCTTTTTTGAGCGATTGGTGTGGCCGGGTCAGTTGGGTTGAAGGAGGTGGCGGAGGAAGGGCCGTTTAAGGCAATGATGGCTTTTGAAATTGAAGGCACGGTCGACGACAAAGACCTTCAAATGGCACTTGAAGGCGGTGAGGCAGAGGGAATGCGGGAAGAGCTCCAGAGTTCGGAGACAGAGATGCTGAATGTCCAACCTCCAAAGGTGGGGTGGGAATTGCGCTTTGAGACATCTGGCAGAATTGATGAGGAGCTGTGTGCAATATGGGGATTATTATTGTCGAGATCAGGAGCTGAAAACTCCAGCCTGATGGTCGTTGTGTCACAGATGATTTACTTTAGACTTTTCTCTGTGCAAATTAGCTCTATATTCGCTCACAAACACAACCGTCGCTTCACAGCCGATTCCGAGAAAGGATTGAGCCGCGGTCCCAGTGTGAAAGGTGTCATATAAACCACAAGCTTTATTGTATAAGGACACAGATTATAAAAGGTTCAGCCTCGTGGCCATCACAGCCAAACACAGCTCGTGGCTGAGGATTTCCGCCTCATTAATCGGTCACCCGACAGATACTCAGAGGCTCAGAGTTTTTGCCGCCGTCGCTATTACAGGGACAGAAGTACGGATAAAGTTTCTCAGTGAAAGTCTGGGTGAAAGTGTGGAGATGAGACATGTTATCAGCGTTGTAAAATGTCACCTCTCCCCCCTCATAGTCCAGGAACACTCCCAGCTTCCCGGGTCTCTCTCTCAGGGACAGGCGGGTGGGAGGTGAGGTACAAGCTTCATATTCATCCCCGTTTCTCAGTGTCACAGCCCAGAATCCGTTCTCTGGTGACACTGTGATCTTTCCCTTCCTGTTGACAGACACTCGGGCCAATCCCACATCCCACTTTCTCTTGTTGGCCACCTGCACCTCCCAGTAATGTCTCCCTGATGTGAAGCCCTCAGACCCCAGGACTATGAGATATTTACTAAACCTCTTCGGGGAGTCAGGGAGCTGCTGCCGTGTGTCTCCGAGTCTTACGCTGGTCAGGTCCTCAGACAGGATGAGCTGTGTCAGGATCCAGAGTCATAGAGACCGGAGCTGAGAGAGAGGGACAGCACAAAGTGGAGTGAGGGGACGTCTGAGCGCTCAGACTGTGCGTGAACACTTCTGAAGCTGGGGACACCATCCAGCTCAGAGGGTCACAGTCGGTGTGACGGTATGTGTGAGTGTGCGTGTGAGGGTTTGTGTGAGGGTGTGTGTTGGGGATGGTGTGTGAGCGGTTTTATGAAGGTGTGTGTGAGAGGCTGTGTGAGGGAATGTGTGAGTTTCTGCGTGAGGGTGTGCGTGAGTGGATGTGTGTGCGAATAATTGTGAGGGTGTGTGTGGGTGGATGTGTAAGGGTGTGCCTGTCAGCAGGGTGTTTGAGGGTGTTTGTGAGGGTGTGTGCTTGAGGTTGTGAGTGTGTGCGACGGTGTGTGTGAGGATGTGTGAGGTTGTTTGTGAGGCTATGTGTGATCGGGTGTGTGTGAATGTGTGTGTGAGAATTGTGTGTGTGGGAGTGTGTGAGTGTATGTGTGAGAGAATGTGTGATGCTCTGTGTGAAGGGGTGTGTGAAGGATATGTGAGGATGTATGTGAGTGTTTGTGTGTGGATGTGTGAGGGGTGTGTGTGTGAGAGTGTATGTGATTGTATGTGAATGTGTGCGCGAAGGGGGGTTTTGGGGGTCTGTGAGGGGTGGGTGTGAGGGGTTTGTGTGAGGGTCTGTTTGAGGGTTTGTGAGGTTGTGTGTGGGGCGTGTGAGAGTGGTTTGTAAGGGTCTGTGTGGGGATGTTTGTGAGGGGGTGTGTGAATGGTTATGTGAAGGCGTGTTGGAGGGTTTTTGTAATGGTGTGTGTGAGGAGGTTCCTCAGGTGGTATGTGCGCGTGTGTGTTTGAGGTGGTGTGAGAGGAATTGTATGAGGGTGTGTGTCAAGCTGTGTGTGAGGATGCGTGTGAGATGTGTCAGTGAGTGTGTGTTTGAGGCGTGCGTGTGAGGGTGTGTGTGGGTATGTGTGTCAGTATGTATGTGACACGTTTGTGTGAGAGCTGCCTGTGAGTGTGCGAGAGGGTGTGTGTGAGGGTGCGTGTGAGGGGTACTCACCTCTGAGGGTGTGTGAGAGTGAATGTATGTGTCAAGTTGTGTGTGAGGGGCTGTGATAGTGGATGTGTGAAGGTTTGTGTGAGGGTGTGTGTGAGTGTGTGTGTGGGGTGTGTTTGAGAGGATTGTGTATGTGTTTGAGGGAATGAGAGAGGGGTTATGTGAGAATGTGTGATGGTACGTTTGAGGATGCGTGTGAGGGGTGCGTGTATGGGTATGTTTGAGTGGTGTGCGTGAGGGTGTGTGTGAGGATGTGTGTGATGGAGTATGTGACGTTTGTGTGTGATGGGTGTGTGTGAGGGGTGTGTGTGAGGATTGTGAGGGTGCATGTGAGTGGTGTGTGTAAGGGTTTGTGTGAGTGGTTGTGAGAGGTGTAGTGTGCTGATGTGTGTGAGGGTGTGTTTGACGATGCGTGTGAGTTGTTGGGTGTGAGGGTGTGTGTGAGTGTTGGTGGGTGAGCGGGAGGCCTGTGTGTGAGCGTTTTGTAAGGGTTTTTGTGTGAGGGGATAGGTGAGTGTTTGTGTGAGCGTGCATTTGAGGGTCTGTACGAGTGTCTGTGTGAGGGGGGAAGGTTTGTGAGAGGTGTGAGTGTGTGTGTGGGGGTGTGTGTATGACAGGGTAATAATATTGATAATAATAATAATAATCCTTGCATTTCATATGGTGCTTTTCAGTGTTTTTCGACGTCTCTAAGCGCTTCACAGAATATAATGTGAAGTGAACTGACCGAACATTTGTGGGCGAAACGCGGCAGCGAGTTGCGTACCGCAGCGTCCCCTCAAACAGCTGTGGATTTAAAATGACCGATTTAATATTGTTTTTTGTTTATTGGAGGGATCATTATCAGGCGTGTGGAGTAAGGAAACTTGCCCAAGGATTCACCCTGCCTGAGATTGAACCCATGTGTCTCGCTTGCAAGGCGAGTGCTCTAAACACTGACTTACAGGACTCCACATACATGGTATGTGAATGAGGGGGTGTGAGATGTTGTGTGAATCCGTCAATTCTTCCATTGGAAAAGAAAGATTTTCCAGGTAATACCTGTCTAAGGCTGAATCAATGTGTTAATTACAACTTACGGTTGATGAGGTTTACAAAAGATTTTGCCGAATGATTTCGCTTTCCTTCAAGCTTGTGAGACTGGCAGTAGAACACAATTGTTTTTATATATTGCATTTATATTCTTATTTTTATATAATATATTATATCAAAATTATTTACATTTTTCTACTGTGTGTATACAGGAGACACAACGGGAGAGATTGTGTGTATGTGGGAGTTATTGGAAGAGGCTGTTTGTACGAGAGAAACACAGGGAGAGCTGTTTCTGTACACATATGGTGCTGGGAGAGGCTGTGTATATACGGGAGAGCCAATTGGAGCGGTTGGGCCATACAAAGGGAAACACTGGAAGAGACTATGTGTAAAAGAGAGACACTGGGAGTGGCTGTGTGAATACAGGAGAGACACCAGGAATGGCTGTGTGTATACAGGAGAGGCACTTGGAGAGCCTGTGTGTACACAGGAGAGAAACTGGGAGTGGCTGTGTGTATACAGGAGAGACACTGGGAATGGCTGTGTGTATACAGGAGAGACACCAGGAATGGCTGTGTGTATGCAGGAGAGAAACTGGGAGAGCCTGTGTGCATACAGGAGAGACATTAGGAGTGGCTGTGTGTTTGCAGGAGAGACACTGGGATTGGTTGTGTGTCTACAGGAGAGACATTAGGAGTGGCTGTGTGTATACAGGAGAGACACTGGGATTGGTTGTGTGTCTACAGGAGAGACAGTGGGAGAGCCTGTGTGTGTACAGGAAAGACACTGGGAGTGGCTGTGTTTATACAGGAGAGACACTGGGAGCGATTGTGTGAACATATGCCTGATAATAATCTCTCGAGAAAAAAAACAATAATGATTTGATCACTCAATCCATGACAGTTTGTGGGTCGCTGCTGTGCGCAATTGGCTGCCGCGTTTCATCCACATATATACAGTCTAATATCTTTACAGCATATTCTGTAAAGCGCTTTGAGATGTCTAGAAGATGTGATAAGGCACTGGATCAAGTGCAAGAATTATATTATTTTTGTTATTAATATTGTTACAGAGTGAAATCCTTTTCTCGCCCCGCCCAAAACCCTGCAGCACCGCTTTACTGCCACCAGAGGGCGGTGCTGCACTTCGTAACTGCCCACAGTATTCTCAGCAAATTAATAACAGTAATATTCTTGTGATTCTATTTTGCGCTGTTCACTTCTTACAGACGCCACAAAGCGCGTGTATCGTAAGAAAAATCCCTTCTACTCCTTGAGGGGAGGTGAGAAGGGTCTCCATCGAGTTGATCTGGAGGTTGGCAACCAATGTGGGAATCAAGCCAGTCTTGTGTGATGGACACGAGGGTGGACATTGCGATCTCTGCCTGTCCCGCGTTGTGTGTTTGTGTAATTCTGTGTGTTTCTGTGTGTCTGTGTGTGTGCCTCTATGTGTATGTATGTATCTGTGTGTCTCTGTGTGTATATTTGTCTGTGTGTCTTTGCCACTGTGTATGAGTGTCTCTGACGGCATGTTTAAAGGGGTGTGTCTTTGTGTGCGCGTGTCTCAATCTGTGTGTGTGTCTTGGTGTGTCTGTGCATAGAGAAGAAACTTGCACAAGGTTTCGCCCCCTATTGGGGATTGACCCCCTGTCTCTGGCTTGCGAGGCGAGGGCTCTAAACGCTGAGCTACAGGACATGTTACAGAGACAGTTTACGGTATATACTGTGAAGCGCTTCGAGACGTTCCGAAGGCGTGATAACACTCTGGATCAAATACAAGGATTACTATTATTATTACAAAAAGGGCTTTAACCCCAAAAAACCTCCTCTCCCTTTCAAGGCAGTGACGGCCTCGCTTTAAAACCCAAATATGATCAACAGATCAAAATCCAGCACTGGCCCCGTGAACGAACCCAGCCCCGGCCCCGCCCCCGAACTCAGCCCCGCCCCAAACCCAGACACGCCCCCAGCTCCGGCCCCGCCCCCAAACCCAGCTCCGCCCCTATTTGTCTCCTGTTTGTAGCAAAGCCTCCAGCGGCTGATTGATAGAGAGAGAGTGAGTGAGAGAGACAGAAAGTGAGATTGAGTGTGAGAGAGAGGGAGACAGTTAATGCAAAAAACGATTTATATACTTGGGATTAGTGCAGAATTGGGAATATTTTGCACTGATGCACTTTAAACCCCGAGGATCTGGGGGAATTTACACCCGTTTCCCGTGTTAATCCCCGGCTGTGGGATTAAAATCAAAACCCAAAGTTAATGCAAAACCGTATTTATATCCGTGTGATTAATGCAAACATTGGGGTTTGTTAAACTATTGCACTTGGAACACCACGTATATGGGGGCTTTAAAAACGTTTCCAGTGTTGCACACAGAGAGCGCTTTATTATTTAAACAGAAAGTCAATGATAAATCCCATGGGTATCATTGGGATTAATGCAGATTTAGAAAGCCTGGGATAGGCTTTGAGACATCTGGCAGAATTGATGAGGAGCTGTGTGCAATATGGGGATTATTATTGTCGAGATCAGGAGCTGAAAACTCCAGCCTGATGGTCGTTGTGTCACAGATGATTTACTTTAGACTTTTCTCTGTGCAAATTAGCTCTATATTCGCTCACAAACACAACCGTCGCTTCACAGCCGATTCCGAGAAAGGATTGAGCCGCGGTCCCAGTGTGAAAGGTGTCATATAAACCACAAGCTTTATTGTATAAGGACACAGATTATAAAAGGTTCAGCCTCGTGGCCATCACAGCCAAACACAGCTCGTGGCTGAGGATTTCCGCCTCATTAATCGGTCACCCGACAGATACTCAGAGGCTCAGAGTTTTTGCCGCCGTCGCTATTACAGGGACTGAAGTACGGATAAAGTTTCTCAGTGAAAGTCTGGGTGAAAGTGTGGAGAT